AAGAGCTTCAACAGATGCAATATGTAGACCTTGTTTGAATCCTGACTAGAGCAAATCAACTGTAAAACATCTCTCTCCCCAACCAGCTTTAATGAGCCATCATGGACAAACAAAATTGTACATATTTAAGGTATACAAGATTATGTTTTGATATATGTGTTCATTGTGAAATGTTTACCACAATCAAGCTAATTAACATATCTGTCCCTGCACATAGTTAACTTTTTGTTTGCGAGAACAATTAGGAGCAGTTATTTTAGCAAATTTCAAGTATGCAATACAGTATTGCTAACTATAGTCACTCTGCTGAATATCTCCAGAATTTATTCATCCTGCAAATCTGAATTTATATATACATATCTTTGACCAATATTTCCCCATTTCCCCCATGCCCCAGCCCCTGGTAACCATGCCCTATAAAATGGCATTTCTGAGACAAATATGAAAAATTAAATATGGTATTAGATGATCTTAAGAATCATTTTTAATTTTGCATGGTAATTATGTTTTAAGACAATCCTACAGTTAAAAATGCATACTAAATATTTATAGGCAGAATGATATAATTTCCTTGTTTTAAAATATTCCAGAAAAATAATGTTGGGAATAAAAAAAAAACAAAATTAGTAAAAATGTTGATGAATGTTTAAGCTAGATGGTGGTTTAATGGAGGTTCACTTTTGTGTATTTAAGAATTTTCTAGGCGCACGCAGGGTGGGGGGAGGGAGCGCACAGCGTGCGCGCGCCCTCTCCCTCCTCCACCGCTGCCGCCTCCTTCTTCTGCCGCTCCTGGTGCTGCTTGTGTGCCCTTTGGTGCGGACCTGGTACCTCTTTTGTGAAGCGGCAACTGAGGAGACTCCGGCGCTCGCCATGGCCGACGAAAAGCCCAAGGAAGGAGTCAAGACTGAGAACAACGATCATATTAATTTGAAGGTGGCGGGGCAGGATGGTTCTGTGGTGCAGTTTAAGATTAAGAGGCATACACCACTTAGTAAACGAATGAAAGCCTATTCTGAACGACAGGGTTTGTCAATGAGGCAGATCAGATTCCGATTTGACGGGCAGCCAATCAATGAAACAGACACACCTACACAGTTGGAAATGGAGGATGAAGATACAATTGATGTGTTCCAGCAGCAGACAGGAGGGGTCTACTAAAAAGGGAACCTGCTACTTTACTCCAGAACTCTGTTCCTCCAGACCAAGAAGACATTCTCAATTAGAAAACTGCAATTTGGTTTCAACACATCTGACTACTACAGTATAATTTTCTCTATTTTTTCATTTTCCCCTTCCCCATTCTTTTATTGTACATAAAGTAACCGATATATGTGCACAAGCATTTGTAATTTTTTTTTTAACTAAATGGCCAATGGTATGTTTTGATCTACATCAAATGGAGATGGGATGGGGAAAAAATACTGGTTCTGTGAAAACACCCCCTTTCTCCATTAGTGGCATGCTCATCCAGCTCTTACCTTTATATTCCAGTAAGTTATTTTGCTCTCACTGTTTAACAAAAAAGAACAACATAAAAATTCTTGCATACCTTGTTTGATTGGAGAATTTTAATGTTTTTCATTTATCATTGTAAAACCAAGGACAATTTTATAACTTTTTTGTACGTAGCTGTTACATGTAGGGCAATCTGTCTTTAAGTAGGGATAAATTACTCTAAAAAAATGAATCCTAGATAGTTTTCCCTTCAAGTCAAGTGTCTTGTTGTTTAAATAAACTTCTTGTTTAAAAAAAAAAAAGAAAAGAAAAAAAAAGAATTTTCTAAATAAGAAAGTAGAAAAAAATTATTTTTTTAAAATATGTTTTTATTGATTTTTAGAGAAAGAAGAAGGGAGAGGGATAGAGAGAAAGTTCATTGATTTGCTGCCGCCTGCACATGCCTCCACCAGGGCCTGAGTCAAAACCCTGGGCATGTGACCTGACCAGGAATTGAACCTAGACCCCTTGGTTCCTGGGTCAACACTCAACCACTGGAGCCACACTGGCTGGGCAAAAACAATATTCTTAAAAACACATTCACATAAAATCCATACATTTTGATTATTTATTTATCTCTTGATTATTTATTTATTTATATTCATTTCTGCCTACTTCTAATGTGTGTGTGTGTGTGTCTTTAGATAAAAGTACAATAGTAGTTTGACCACCAAAGGGAGTCTTGCCCCCCCTCTAGGTAGAAATCAGGAGAGGAGGCAAAACAAATCCAAAAGTTGGAGAGAAAGAAGAAAGGGAGTGAGCCTGATGCACCAGGGGAGCATAGACTAACAACAGCATGGCTCCCCCAAACTGCTGCTGGGGTCAGGCTCATATAGGGCGGGGCTCTTCACGCAGGCGCACAGGAGCTCTTTGCTTTCCAGGCTCCCCCATTGGCTGGTATCTCCTGGAGCAGGTGCAGAGCAGAGCTCTGAAGAGAGACTTTAAACTTATCCAGGAGAGGCTTAAAAAAAAAACTAACTGAAGAGCATTCCCATCTGTTTAGGAGAGGCTCGGCCTATCTCAGTAGCAGTAGTAACAACAGTAACAGCTTGCTCTGCGTCGGCCTCCTGCTGATCCTCCAGCCCATGACAGTGAGTAGGCAACGTTATTATCCCCACTTAATCATGAGGGTCCTGAGTCTCAGAGAACTGATGTAACCTTCCCAAGGTTACTAATCTAGCAAACAGTAAAAATATCTGTAAGGATTACTGAATTTTCCAAATTTCATTTAACGAGGAGACACTGATCTTTGAATTTGCACAAAAGGCAAAAAAAAATCTGTTTGGTCTCATTTCTCATTAGGACTAGATTGAAATTAGTTATTCTATTTAAGGTGAACCAGTAATAGTGAAGTGACTATTCACTCATCAAATCTCATGTGACATCATCTTCGGTCCAAATAACAGCTACAGAGTATGATTCTTAAATCATGTCTCTCTTCTCCCTGGAGTACTTTCAACTCTTGTTCCCCTCGAAACGTGTACAGGCGGACAGTGCTGTCTGCTGACTGTAAGCAGAACTGCAAGCACGTGGTGTCTGGGTCTCCTTTGTAACTACATGCATCTGTGGTCCTTCTTTCCATCCCACTGTTACTGCAGGTCAGTGTGCTGTTTGTGTGCTTGCACTTAATTTTCACGAGGAAGTTGGTGGTATAAGTTCCAGTGCTACCTTCTATTTCCACTGCCTTCAGCAAAGACGAGGGTTCAAAACTAACGAGAAAAAATATGTGGAGCAAGATGGCCATGTTTCCAAATGTCACAAGCTCTTACTGATTTAAGAACATGCCTACAGCCCTTGGAAATTTCTGCTCAGAAATGCCAAATGCCCCAGTTCCAGTTTTCTAGCCTGAAGTTCCGTGCTCCTGGCTGTAACACTAGATTCCGTCTCCCTTTCGGGCTCTCCCCACATCCTGGCCTTCACTTGGAAAGAGTAGTTAAACCTGTTGTGGATCAAAACTGTGAGCTGCAGATGGAACGCTCCAGCATGCTGAGTGATTCCATATGTGTAGGTCCACCCTCTGAAACTACTGGGAAGTAATGACAGGTTAAAAGAAACGTTTCACAGGCAGGTAAAGAAATCTAATTGCAAGGTGTTCCTGTGACACAATGGTTTAGCTTGTGAAACAACGCAATTAGACTGAGCACTGTGCCTAAAAAGGACCCTTTGTCTAAACCTATATCGGAATCTTCAGGAATCTGTAGGTGCAGGGAAAGTGGGAGACTTCAATATTTTCAGGATAAAATAAAACTGTGCTTCTGCAGACCAGATGTCTTCTGTTGTGTTTTTTAAATTTTTGCATTTGTATGATTGCTTGTCTTAATTTCTGGAGTCAAGGCATTGACGGAAAATTCCAGAAATGACTTGCCTGAGGATTGGTGGCCCACGGATAATAGAGGACGCCAATTTTATATTTAATCTTCCACTTTCAACATAACATCATGGTTTTTAAAAGAGTGATTTAGTGTTCTTTTCATAAAGAATAGATTGGTAAATATAGTCAGGTCCCATGGGGAGGCAACTCGCTACATATTTAGTCAAAGCCTCCTGGCTACCGGTAGGGGAAAAAGCGACTAATAATAAGGCAAACACATGGCTTACTTGTAATTTACTCATCACAATTCCACCGTCAGACGTATTAAATAATTCGCCCGCGGCCACACAAGAAAGAAGTGGTGAAACCAGGAGCTGAGCCCAGGCAGAGCAGCTTCAGAGTCCACACTTCAAACCTACTTCGCCTTCCTTCTTGAGACAAATTAAGAACTGGGAGATAACAAGTCACACCGGCGAGTTTCCACGCCTGTTCGTGGCCCTCCCTTCCTTTCCTAGGCAGTTCCACCTCATATGGCTACCGTTTCCTTTGATCTGTTCTAAGCAAGCACTTCATACACATCATCTCATTTAAAGTCTGTGACATAGCTATTTACCACCCCAATTGTAGATGAGGAAACTGGGCAGTGTCCAAAGTTTCTTAGAGTGCAAGTGTCAGAATTTGAACCCACTGGCATTGATTTTAGGATCTATGCTCTTCACCACACAGCGAGTACCCTTTCCCCCGACACACAGTGGGTCCATCAACTCAGCACACAGGGTTCCTGTTTCTTGGTATGCAGAATAGGATCCTAAACCCTATGGGAGAGCTTTCTTTCCGACAGGAAACATGCACCCCTGAGAGCAGAAGCTGAGGTGCATGCCCACTCCACGCCTCTCCTTCTACCAGCCCCCCAGTCAAGGTGCACTCGGGACAGTCAGTTCACTGTAGACGGGCTCAGGCTGCTGACTGAAGAATAATGACCCCTGCGTACAATTTGTCATTGTGCATTTCTGTGAACAACATCAAATGCTCCCAGAACTTTCTTTAACGTTGCCCTGAAGTTTCTAGCTCTGTCTAGCCAAGCGGCACCGTGGAAACCCATCCTTTGTCATGCTGAAGAGCAGCACATTGCACAGTACTGGGCGCAGTAGAGTTTCAGTACTGTTTGTTACTGTGCTTTAAAATATCCATAGATTGTGGGTACATAAATACAAATAAGCAAAACTTACGAAAACCTGACTTGTAAATTTCTGATACTCACACACTGTGTGGAGGACCCTCTGTGGCTCCCTCTCCCCATCTCCATCCCAGGATGCCTGGCGCCTTCTAGCCCAAGTCCAGAAAGCAGCCAGCCTTGTGCCAACAGCACCACTCGGTGGCCAGGATGGAGAACTGGACAAATCCACTTTCTTCCCTCCAACCTTCTTTTTCCTTAAGAGAAGATTCCTCCTCCAAACCCCAAATCTCTCCGCCCACCACAATTCACCTCAGTTGTTGTTAATCTTCACCTGAGGATACTCTTTCTATCTATCTCTAGAGAGAGTGGGAGGGAGTGGGGGGTGGAGGGGAGGAGAGAAACATTGATGTGAGAGAGACATATCAATCAGTTGCCTCCCGCAAGTAGGATTGAACCTGCAACCCAGGAACATGCCCTTGACCCTTCAGTATGTGGGGCTGATGCTCTAACTACTGACTATACCACCCATCACTTCAGTTTTCTGTGTGCTTTGCCGCTCACAGCCAAGGTGATTCCACCTCAGGCAAACTCTCAAAGTTACATGCGTCCTTTTACAAAAGTCTTTCTTCTTAACCCCCACCCGGTTACTTCAGACGTTTATTCCTGCAACTGCCTTTATCACATGCTGAAGCCTAGCAGTCGCTAGGGCTGGACAAACCAGACGTGGCCCCAAGTCTCTAAGACTTAAAGGGTTTAACCAGCTTTTTAAAGATTAAGCATTTTAAAATCTGTGCAAATCGATTAGGCCTCGTCCCCTCAGAACTCCTTTGCCTGCCCCAGCCCCTGCCCCCAGGAGCCCCCTACCCTGAAAGGGCCTTCAGTAGCAGCCAGGGAAAGTGATGGAGCTGGAGACCCAGAGTAAGAAAAGTCCACTTAAAAAAATAATTAAAAGATAGGAAGGGGGGAGGGGAGGAGGAGCAAGAGGGAGAGCGAGGGAGAAGGAAGGGAAGGGAAGAAAGAAGAGGGGGGAAAAGTTTAACCGGGGGCTTCCTCGCTGCTTCCACCAGTGCCTGGTTGGGGCAAGGCAGAGGGGACACACACACACACACCCCTTGGTAATCAAGTCAAATAAAAATAATCTTAATGCAATATTTTTAAATTAAATTTAAAATTTAAAAAAATCGATGGTGAACAAAGTACAGTAGCAACATTTTAAATAAAAACGAGCTACTCCTGCTTGTTTTATGATCTGTGCAAAGGGAACAGTCAGGGGTTCCCCCAGTGGCTGCAGGGGTTCCCCCCCTTCCCACCTCCAGCCCTGCCTGGGCGGGGCAGGCGGGTTTATGAGGGTTGACAATGGTGTGTGAGTAGATTGGCAACATGGGGTTTTACTTATAGATGTTTTTCCAAACTGTTAGGCTTTTATTAACTTTTTCCTATTGATTCCAAATATGAGAAGCTATTTTGATCCACGTACGCATAGGGCACACATTTTTCTTGTTGCCTCCAGCTCCAGTGTGGCTGGATCAGCTGTTTCCCACTAGCTTCCCCTTCCCCTCTGCCTGCCAGAGCTCCACAACTTCCATCACTCTTCATCCTTGTCCCGTAAAACCTGCTTTTCTGTAAGCACCAGCACCTATGAAAAAGTACTTAGTACCAAGGGCTTCTCCTCTTTTTAAATTATAAAGCATTGCAAAAGTAGTGCTTCCTTTGTTTCATTGCAAATGCACATTATATGAACATCACAGATCACATAACATTTGTAGATTAGTCCAGGAACAAATACAGTATTTACTTCACTGTTTCTATAGGAAAACATGTTCTAAGTTACAAACTCACTTGCAAATAAATATTTGGGATGCTATTTTTTGTAGATTGGGCCTAAATGCTTTCTTTAGATGTTTACAATTTACATGTTATATACTGTAGTACACACACAAAAAGAGGCCCTGTGGCCCAAACCACTGCTCTTTATTTTTAGCACACCACAAAAAATGTGACGGTAATGCCCAGCTTGAGAAGTGTAACATTATTAAGCATATCCTACATAATAAAAGGCCAGCGACCATAATGGCGTAATGACCAGAACAGCCAATCGACCAGTTGCTATGAGGTGCATTGACCACCTCTCGGTCCCTCCCCCGATCCTGGAGGCTCTGATCGCCGGGTGGTGAACAGAGAACCATGGGGAACTGGGGTGGGTGTCATTGGCAGGGCGGGACTGGGGACTGGCGAACCGGCAGAAGATGGCCCTGATCGCAGGCTAGGCCTAGGGACCCTACCCACGCACGATTTCATGAACTGGGCCTCTAGAATTACATAAAAGTAACTCAAATACAGAAGAATATATAGACATTTACATTTTATTAAAATATGCTTGCTCCAGTGGTTACTTATATGTCATAATGCAGCATTTATGAGGATGTGCCTCAACAACTCTCATAGAGCTTCATGCTTCCAGTCTAAAAATAAGTCAGCATTTGCTTACCTACATCTGGTGATCAGTCATTCAATCCACTAATTACTGTTGGTATGAGATGAGTAGAAGCATTTCTATTTAAATCATTCCCCAAAATTACAACATGCCACCAGCAGGTCTTTGCTCCTCATTTGGTTCATTATCTTCTTGCATGAAGTTCAGCCACATAGTAAAGTGCTCCCAGATGTCAATGAGAGTTGGGTGCCTCTGTTCTAAAATCTCAACCACTCGGAATCTCAGCATCCATTTTTGAAAACAAAGGTCTAAGTTGTTTAAACTCCCCTGTTTAATTTGGGATAGAAAGAGATGTAATCTAATTCAGTAAGAATAAAAAGTGTAACACACACATACACACAGTCTCTATTTTAATGGTTAGGTAGAATGCGATACACAGACTACAACTTTACTTTAAAAGCCCAGAATATCTTTCTGCAGTATACTTTTAAAATACCCTTTTGATCATTTCTGGTTAAATATCCTCAAAGACCTCCCCCCCCCCCCCCCCAACACACACATACACACACACACACTCCTAATGGAATCCGTCTAAATTCCTGGGCTTGGCTCTGACAACCTGACTTTACCCTGCCCCGCTCATCACAATTCCCCAATCATCCACCTACACGTCAAGGCAGCCACACCAGTAGCCTCACTGTCCAACATGCTGTCCAACTCACTGTTTCTCATCTGACATGCTCTTCCCTTGGCAGTCTCTACCTCTCCTTCAAGGCCTAGCGCAGGTTCCATCTTTGCTCTGAACCTTTCCTTACCTCTCTGGTTCTCCCCACCACTATCCCCATCTCCCGAAAGGCTGAGCTCCCGGATCACTGATTGTCTGAACTGTGTATTCTAAGGACTAATTTCATTGTTTTCCTAACGCATTAGTAAATGCATTCTTTGAGAGTATGAACTTTATCCTATGCTCCTTTCAGACTCCTAATAAATGGCTGTTAAAGTAAATAGCATTTGTACGTGTGTGAAGCTACCCCCACCCCACACATATACACATACATGGAGGATGGGGGCCTAGAGCCAGTGCTTACGTCTTGTTATGACCCCACTCTGAGCACATACCTGTACACTGCCCTCCACGAGTCTGAGTTTCTAATGCCAGCCTTCACTGAGCCTGTTATTCTGTTATTCTCCATCAGGTCCTTTTTGAACCCTACTTTTTATCTTAGTCCTGAATTCTCTATTCACCACCTGGATCCAGTGGGAGTTCGAGTGTGTGTGTGTGTGTGTGTGTGTGTGTGTGTGTGTGTGGGCAGGGGGGTAGAATGAGAATTTGGAGTTTGGAGATCTGGATTTGGAGACCTGGGCATGGGTCCCTCTGCCACTTGGAGTAGTTGGGTTACCCTGGAAAAGTCAGTGGGCTTCAGTTCTTCATGTGTATTTTAGGAATAATTATACCCATCGTGGAGTTGTTTTAAGGATAAAATACACATGTGAAGCATTTTGCAAATAATATATTGTATTGCAATATTATCACAATTAGGCTATCATTACCTTCCACAGGCTGCACCCCATCCCCCTCCACACACACACACACACACACACACACTCTCTCTCACACAGACACACATTCACACACTCACTCCTGGATTGTTCCAGGGCATTCAATGCTTTTGACCGTTGAGTCCAGAAGGATCCTTGTTTTCTGACTTTTAAGAACAAAAAAGTGGGAGAATCCCTCCTCAATCCCTCCAGTGGATCATCAGTCAGAAGATTGGAACTAGGACCAGCGTCAGTCAGGAATTCAGGCAGGTCTTGGTGAAGCTGCTCTGCACCACTGGCATTAGCTGGTGTCAGTCATTCGGCTGCACGTGGCCAGGAACTGGGCTGACCTGAAAGGAACTTGAGGGCTTCACTCGCATTCTGGCATCTGAATGCCAGGCTTCCACGTGGCTTATCTCTACACTTCCCTTATCAATCTGTGGTATTGCTGAAACTTCGTTAGGGTGGCAACTGGCTTCTCCGAGGGAGATCTGGAAATTGCCAGTTTAGTTAAGGAATTAATTCAGAAGTCCCAGAACTTCATTTCTGCCACATTCAATTAGTTAAAAAAAAAATCACAGGTCTAGCCCATGATCAGGGGAAGAAATAGATTCCATCACTTGCAGAGCGGCATTTGCATACATGAAGGGAGGAACCGATGGCACCAACTGTCTTCCACACCAGCAGAGTGCAAGCTCCGTGAGAACAGGAACTCCTGCCTGTTTCTTTTCATTATCATGTCTCCCTAGTGCCTGGAATAGTGGTTGGCAAACGCATTAGTCAACAGAGCCAAATATCAACAGTACTTCTTCAAAATAGACTCGCCCAGGACAAAAACCGACTTCTGTGCACGGGCAACAAAGTTTCAATTGCACTGTACATGCTCCTGCACATGGTATTTTGTGGAAGAGCCACACTCAAGGGGCCAAAAAGCCACATGTGGCTCGCGAGCCGCAGTTTGCCGACCACGGGCCTAGAACAGTGCCCAGCACAGTATACGCATGGAATAAATGTTTATTTAATCCGAGAATTTTAGGGACAAGTGAAAGAGTCTGAAAGAGTAGGAGGAAAACCCAGGAGTGTGTCCCAGAAATCTAGAAGAATAAGAGGGGAAGGAAGATAAGACTACACACTTTTTTCATGTTTCAAAAAATAAGTAAAAAGTATATTCAAACTCTATCTGTAAAGTTACAAGTTCAAACAGTGCAATATTGCATAGAGTAAAAGGTGAGTTTTCCTTCCACTTCTGTTCCCAATTCTCCTTGGCATTAGTCACCTTTTTAAAAGTTTTTATTTTTTTATTTTTTAGAGCAAGAAACAGGAACATCCATTTTTTTTTAATTCACATAAGCAAGATTTTATTAAGCAGAATAATAAAAGAACTATTTAAGTTTTTAAAAAGGATTTAGAACAAAATACTGTTAAAGCACTTCTGCCTTCTCTCAAATGGTAACTCTAAGGCAGGATTTCTCAACCTCTGAATTGCGGGATGGATAATTCTTTTTTTTTTTTTTTAAATATATTTTTACTGATTTCAGAGAGGAAGGAAGAGGGAATGAGAACTAGAAACATCAATGATGAGAGAGAATCATGGATTGGCTGCCTTCTGCACGCCCCACACTGGGGATCGAGCCCACAACCTGGGCATGTGCCCTGATCGGGTATTGAACCCCGACCTCCTGGTTCATAGGTCGACGCTCAACCACTGAGCCACACCAGCCGGGCAAGAATCATTCTTTCTAGGGGGGTTCATCTGTGCACACTGGGATATTTAGCAGCATCCCTGGCTCCCACCTACCAGATGTGAATAGCACCCCTGCGTCAGCCTCCCCACTGTCCACTCCTTTTGACAAAAAAAAGTAGTCTCCAAACAAGCTAAATGCTCCTGGGCAGGGAAGGTGAAGAAAGGGGGGAGAAGGTTGGAGAGAGGCAAAATGGCCCCAGTTCAAGAAGTGCTGTTCTAAGGCTTGATATTTTGTGCATCATCAAAACCTGATTCTACAAAAAGCCTCACTTTTAATTTTTACAAAGGAGGCATATAATGTGAAATAAAACCAAGTGAAACCAAACTATTCTGGCAGGGAAAATATTTTAAAATATAACCAAATCGAGATTATAATTACTGACCACTCAATTTCTGTGCAGTAAGGTCTGATTTCCGCTGAACCTCAGCTAATTGCAAAGTCAGTTCTCTATAAAGGGCACCGCTCACTTTTAGGTCCGTCTCCAAAGTTTGCTTTTCTCTCTGAAGTTCTTCTCTGTAGGGCTGGATGTTTTCTTTGCTGTCTGATAAAACAGTCAGAACACCACTACTATTTTCTTTGCTTGCTTCACAGCTCTGCACCAAGTTGTTTTCAACCTTAACTAAGGCAGAAGAAAGAGAACCAAGGATAACCAATTCCTTCTCCAAAGTTAATGCCAAATGATCACTCAGGAAATCCTCACTTCCTGATTTTAGATATTTCAAGAAACAGTTTATAGGGAGAATTCTGGTGAGATTATGAAGGCACTGAAACAAAATTGATTGATTCCTGGAATAGATTATTAAAATCCCTTCAAATGGTGTCCTTTGTTGCCAGTGGAAGAGTGTCCCATACAAATTTTCTGACCCTTTACAAAAGCAAATTTCTGGAAATTTTTTAATTACTTCACATTTCATGTGTTCCAAGAGCCATGTCCTCATTGAAGTCAGGGCATATCTGGCTGATGTAATTTGGAAGCAAGTTTTTTGCAATGTTGCAAGAAGTGCAAAGAGATCTTCCATTTGTTCTATAGGTTTCTTTGGAAAGGTCACTAGGTATTTCCCACTTGAAAAATCTTCTAGACTTAGAAAAAGTCTGCCACATGGAAAAAAACGATGTTCAGAAGAGTTACCATTTTCTTTCTCCCTAATTTGCAGCAGCACAATGCAACATACCTGACTGAATGCCAAAAGTGGTGAAAGAGCTGTTACGGCAGTAACTATCTGAACACACTCTCTCAGAATATTGTCCACCAACAAAGCTCTCCTCTTCCTCTTCCTCACTATCAACAGTCAATTTGATTCTTTTTGCCTCTGGTCCTTTTTCATATGGCACTGAGCAGGGTGCTGAAAAAGAGTCCCTACTCAACTTGATCGCCCTGTTTTGACACTTAATAAGCCGAAAGTTGGAGCTATGAGGTTCATCCATTACCAACGATAAAGTCACCTGGTTCAGAGGCAGCTTCAAAGAAGATGTGGTTTTCACTCCAACAACCAAACTATCATCTATTACACGATACCATGTCTTCTCTACTAGCTGTTTTGAAACTTGAGAATTGCCTGATAAGTTCGTATCACAAGTATGAACAGGATTTTCTTCTTCACCACAAAGAGTTACAAGACATTCCTCCTCTGCAATTGATGTGCTACATTCTTTTCCTTGAAGCAAGTTCATTAAGGCTTTGTAAGTTTTTAAGATAACCTTTTCCTTAAGCAAAAGATGCTGCTGAACTTCCTGAATAGAAGCCAAGCCAACTTTCACTCTTCTTTCCAGAGCTGGAATCACCAAATAACGATTATCTTCTTTGTCTGCAAATGTGTCATCTTTATTGCAATCCAATGTTTGACTTGAATAGTTTATGTTATCAAGATCTGTTATTTTAAATGAACTCAGGCAATCTGAATTTAAGGAGTCCTTTAAAAGTAGCAGTACTTGTTCTGTCCCCGTTCCAATAAAGTCATCTACGAGTACTGAGCTAATTTGCTCCCACTTAGCAGCAACCTGAAAGTTCTTTTCCCAAACACCACAAGCACTGGACCTGAAGGACACAATGAGAAGGCGGTCTTCGCCTGAATCCATAAGTTGTATTGCACAAGGATCTTCAAATGGAAGCTGGCACACACTTTTAGGAGTCCCATTCTGGAATGAAATCAGCTGATTCCTCTGAGTAAGGGCAATCAAAGACATTCTTAGCTTGTTGTTGACAAACTCAGTTGCACAGACATGCACACAAGTTATCACACTGCTATAAGCAGGAGGGATAATATATGTATCACTTATTACTTCTTCACTTTCAAGCAAGCATACACAGAATCTGGTGTTCCAAATTGCATAATCTGATTTTGAAGGCTCTGAGGTGCTTTCCTCCTCAGATAAATAACATTTCTTTTGTCCTAATAAAACCATACCTAGATTTTCAATCTCTCCTGCCCACTCAATAGAGGAAAAGTTAATGGACACAGTAATAACTTCGCTAGTCTGGGGAGAGACATAGAAGAATGTTTTAACATGTTTCCATATAATTAAAGGCCCGTTAAAGACCCCTACGCCATCCTTCAACTCATGGGCTAGTCTAAAACTCAAACGCTTTTCAAATTTATTGGTACTGTGAAGAAATAGTAGAAAATATTTGAAAACATTATTCTTTTCATTGCATTGTATCATAATATAAGGGAGGTTCATTCCAGTTCTGAAATCTGACACACAGTTACAACACAAGATTTTTAAATCGGAGTTTTCTTCCTTTATGCTAAAGGACCCAGTGAACTTCTGAACAAATGCACTTGTTTCTCTGTCAAATACCATTCTTCTGACATGTAATATGGGTATTTCTGCAGGCCCTTTATCTGCAAAATTTCCTTTAGACAACTGAAAAACAAGGACTTCACCATTATAACACAAGACTCTTTCTTGTTCATTAGAGGACATTGCTGGTTTGCTCCCGACTCCACAACATCAAGTCTTTGTGTTGGTCCAATTTTGGAATACAAATTGATTCAATGCTTTTAAGCCTTACAATGGCTATATTCTGAATGCTTTTTCTGTACCAGGTACTGTTGGACTCTGGAGTCAATCATTTATTCCTCACAACATCCTTATGCCACAGGCACTATTATTTCATTCTACAGATGGGAAAACTGAGGCAGGAAGTTTCAGGATCTTCGTAAAGGCCTCAGCACTCAGGACCCTGCATCCTACAGCCCCCAGGTTCCTGAAGTTCCACACGCGCACACAGTTCCGGAGGCTCCAAACCACCTGCCGGCGCACAGCATCTTGGGAGGGCTGGACTGGAGCTTTAAAATATATTTTTCATTGACTTCAGGGAGGAAGAAGGAGGGAGAAAGAGATAGAAACATCAATAATGAGAGATAATCATTGATCAGCTGCCTCCTGCATGTCCCCTACTGGGGATCGAGCCTGCAACCTGGGTATGTGCCCTTGACCACAATCGAACCTGGGACCCTTCAGTCTGCAGGCCAATGCTTTATCCACTGAACCAAACTGGCTAGGGCAGAAACATCAATTTGTTATTCTATATATTTATTTACGCATTCATTTGTTGCCTCTTATATGTGCCGACCAGGGAACAAACCTACAACCGTGGTGTCTCAAGACCACGCTCTAACCAACTGAGCTACCCAGCCAGGGCTAGTCACATTTTAATGTGTCCTTTCAGAGGACACCTCTCTCTCTCCTAGTATTTTTTCTCTTAATCCAACTTCCAGATCATTCCATATCAATACAGATAGATTCATTCTTTCACTTAAATGGCTGCATAAAATGTTTTCATTCTTAAACTGAATCATTAGATTCCAAAAGTAAGAGGTGACTACTGGTGTCGGAAGACCTGAAAAAGTAGACTATAGAAAGGGATAGGACAGAGTGGGAAAGAAAAGGAGGTTGCTAAAGAAATGAGGACAGAGGAAAAAAGAAATTAAAAGATGGGATAGGCAGGAACAAGCTCATATACTGAAGAATATGAGTAAGAGAGAGGCGGAGATTGAAAATAACACAAAAGAGAAAAGTCTCTAAAGGGATTGGAAGGGATTCGGGGTTCAAGTGGCCGGATTAACCTTGAGAGGACAGAACACCTCCTCTGAGAAGGAAAGGAAGGGCAGCAGGTAGGTTCTGTCATAGTGGCTGGTGGGCGTTAAGGAAATTCCTTCCCAGCGGTCTCATTTTCTTCAGAAATGTAGGAGGCAAAGTTTTTCATTCTTACCAAAGGGATGGGGTGGGTAGAATTCAGTAACAAGTTAGGAGAGTGAGGGTTGGGAATAGTAGGGGACTGGGAATAGCAGAATATCTGAGTAGTAATTTGGAAAAGACTGTTTCAGACTTAGCAAGGTCGCCCGGTGCCATGGAAGTGCCGACTGAAGGTGGACACGCTGGTTTGCACTGATGCCAGTTCACAGGTTACGTGGTGTCCAGCACTGGTGCAGAGATGGCAAGGTTGGTTCAACTGCTGCAGGCTCACGGGTTTGCGGGTGGGCGGAGAACCAAGACGACAACTGAGTGAACGTGATAGACCATGTCTGCCAGGAGCTCCAGACCTTGACTGCACATCTGCCGTCAGTGGTCCGCATACAAGGCTGCAGGCTCAGCAAGGCACACAGCCTCCCGGCAGAGGGAGCCTCTGCGCGCGCTCGGCTCCGGAAAAATCTTCGTGGGGGTCCTGGGCGCGAGCTGAGTCCGAGTGGGGCTGTGGCTGCGGTAGGCAAACGGGTTTTACTCATATTGGATAGCGGGGTACCTTGTGGGAATCGTAGGAGAGGCCAATCCATTCCCTCCCACCCTCCTCCACCCTTTGGGATTGCAGCTAAGCAGGGAAAAACGTGGATGCCAGGGCCAGCCCGCGCCTCGGGCGATGACGTCATTCGCGGGGGGCGGAAGCGACTACCATTGGGGTCCAGTCCATGGAAACGCTTTGCAGATATTTTAGCCTTTTCGCTGTAAAGAGCAACAAACTTACCCTTCTGATTCTTGCCGTTTGAGGCGGTCACACAATGACTGCAGCTACCAACCTCTCTGCCACCAGCAGCTTCCCCAGCGGCAGCAACGGGGTGGTTTCGCCGCCTGCGGCTCCAAGTTACGTCATCGGCCTCAGAACCGGTGGCCCCACCCCATGGTAAGGGAGGGGCAGTCCTTCGGAGGTTTTTGCCCGCAGTGCCCAACGCCTCTTGAGTAATTTTGATCCCTACCAGCCACTGTCCTCAGCTGACCCCGCCTACTTCCCTCTCGCTCGTCGCCTACTGGCCCGCGGCCGCCGGAGGCCCCGCCCCCGTGAATCAGCTGATCTCGCGGTGTTGTTGGGCTGCAAGCTCGCTGGGGATGCAGACCGCGGTGCCGCCGGTAGAGCGTC